GTTCATCCAGCTCTACACCTTGTTGTCTCAGATTCTCCAGCACCTGTAGTTCCTACTATCAGGAAAGGGTTCTTGCTTCTCTTGGCTTTTTTTTAAGATTCATTCAGTCACGGGATGTGGGTATTTCTGGCCAGACCAACATTTATTCCCCAATCCCTAATTGCCCAGAGGACAGTTAAGAATCAACCACATTGCTATGGGTCTGTAGTCCAGACCAGGTAAGGACGGCAGATTCCCTTCCCTCAAGGCCGTTAGTAAACGAGATGGGATTTTCCCCAACATTTTGCAATGGCTTCAGGTCATCATTCATCCCAGATTCCTAATTCAATTCAAATTCCACTGTCTTCCATTTGGGGTTTCGAACACAGGGCCCCCAAGCATTAGCTGAGTTTGTGCATTAATAATGTAGTGATAACAGCACTAGGCCATTGCCTCCCCATGCTTTGGTTTATGTTTACCAGCTGGTACAAGTGGGAACAGTGCGAGGTGACTGACAATGCTGAAAGCAGACAACTGCTCCCAGAGACCTAGGAGCCTATGACTGACCATGCCTCACAGATTAGAGCTTGGAAGGGTATTAGGAAGGCAGGCAAGAAACGAGCTGAGTTATTTCAATAGAGAGGTGGTGGTGGGATGGGGGGTAGGTGGGTGTCACTGTGGGAGCTGATGTGGGGTGTGGGTTAACCACATTGTGATCCCTTTGCAGCTTGATATTTGGAGCGATCACTTGTGTGACGGGCTTCCTTGGACTGATCGTGGGGGTCGCAGCGACGAGGTGGTACCGGACAAAAAGCTCCCGAGCTGACCCGCTGGTCTGTGCGTTTGGAATGCTGAGCTCGTCCATATTCATCAGCCTCATCTTTGTCTTTGCCCGGTTCAACATCGTGGGAGCCTACGTGAGTGTGACTGCTGTCTATTTCCCCTCTCACTTGGGACAACAGTGTGCCAGACAAATGCTTCATGCTCTTAGGAATTAGGAGCAGGAGTAGCCAATTCAGCCTTTTGAGCCCTCTCTGCCATTTAACATGATCATGTCTGATCTTATCCTGGTCTTAACTCCACTTCCCTGCCTGCTCCTCATGGCCCTATATCCCACTCTTCATCAGAAACATACCTATTTCTTCCTTGAATCTATTGATTGATTCTGCCCCCACTGTACTCTGGGACAGTGAGTTCCACAGACTCACAACCCTCGGAGAGACGTAGTTTCTGCTCATCTCAGTTTTGAATCTACCTCCTTTCAGAAGGTCTACAAGTGGAAACATCGGATCAATGTCCAGCTTATCAATCCCCTTTAGTATCTTGTATACCTCAATCAGATGCTGCTTCATTCTTCTGAACTCCAGTGATTACAAGCCCATGCTATTCAACTACTTCTTGTATGACAGCCCTTTCATCCCTGGAATGAATCTAATGAACTGCCTCTGAACTACATCCAATGTCACCACATCCTTCCTCAAGTAAGGAGACCTGAACTGGACACAGTATTCCAGGTGTGGTCTCACCATCTTTTATAATTGTAGCAACACTTCTTTTATAATCCAGTCCTTTTGCAATAAATGCCAGGATTCCATTTGCCATTCTTATTATATGCTGCACCACATACCCATTTTCTGCACATAGATGTCTCTAGACTGATGCACTTTGAATCTGCTTTCCATTTAAATAATAATTTGCCCGTTTACCTTCCCGGCCAAAACAAACACACTTAACCATTCTGCGAGCTCATTCAGAATGACTGTTACTCACCAAGCAATCTCTGCCTGAAGTTTATTCTCTTTTGTTGGGATGGCTGCACACAATGGCTAGAAATGTGGTTTGACCTCATGGCTTTGAGATACTTTTACAATGTACTGAATGAACAGATTACAGGATAGGAGAGCTCTTACCTCCAGGTGGACAGTTAATTCTGGCCTTCCCAGCGATGCCCACCTCTTCAGAATATAAGGAAGAAAGCAAGAGATAGAACTTGCATTTGTATAGCTCCTTTTTGCGATATCAAGATCCCAAAAGCACACTCATGGCCAAATAGCCCACAGCAAGATTGCACAATAATGAGCACAACAGCTATTTGTATGTTTGGGTGAGGGATAGAAATTAGCTGGTATACCACCCCATCCCACCCATCCTCAAAATGGTACACTCACATCCACTTGAGAAGGCAGATTGAAAGATGACATCTCTGACAGTGCAGCACTCCTTTAGCATTGGAGAAAGTGTCAGAATAAGACTTGAACAGTTACCTTCTGATTCACTGGTGACAGTGCTACCAAATGAGCTATAGCTCATGAGTAGAAAAATAATCGCGACCACTTTCTAAGACACATTAGAGTCATAGAGGTCCACAGCACAGAAAAAGTCCATCAAAGACAGGCAACTATTAGAATCCCATTTGCCAGCACTTGGCACATAGTCACCATCGTTTACTTGTTTTTATTTAAACTGCTGCAGTCATTGCGTATTCAAATTTCTCTTATTCCTCCAAAGCTACATAGCCTTTCCTCGCAATTGCTCACTGAAAAGGCCCTGAATCATAGATTTAATGTTCCCTCATTCGTCTTGATGTTAACGGCCTCAGACTTTTCTAAACCAACGCTCAGCACCATCTTTCCCTCACCCGGATTGCTTTCTAAGCTCGGCGTTGTGCAGCATGGGTCATTTCGATCAGAAACAAAATTAAGGGTTGAGGCACAGCGGATTTGCAAGCCTAATCTTTCTCTGAAAGCGAGAGTCTCAGTTCATTTTAAGATTCAGTCGATGCTGAACTTGAGACATCTCCTCAGAAGCCAGAATGCTCTTCTTCTGGCCTGCTCTGTTTGAATGTATGATTATTACTATTTTTGCGAAGGAGGACTCGACTTGATCAGATGTTTTAATAATCTTTCATTTGGATTCAAGTCAAATTGTGTAGAGACCCAGTGGTCTTGCTGTGGTTTGTCCATTATACAGGTAGCACCGTCTTGCCATCTCTCTGTTTGCTCACTTCACTTCAGTCATGTTTCCTATTCAGTATGACACCAGATAGGACACATTTAATCAAAGGAATTAATTGCAAACCACTACCCTGGACAATGTGTCCCACCTGGGATTTATTTTTAAACAAGACAATTCTGAACAAATTCCAGTGGGAAATCTTCCGGAGTTCTCTGCCTGAGATGCAGGTCCCACCAAGTGTGTTGCGAACTCCGACATGTACAATTCCCAAATCTGGGATGGGGATCGAACCCTGTGCTGTTTTGGTATCAGTCTGATCCACACTGGCTGTTCACACAGACTGGGCCAACCACCCCAGGTAGCTGAGTTCCTGGGGCACGTTTACATGCATGTTGAAGCCTGGAGCTGTAGGTAGGCATGTTGAAAGCTCCAATTGTCCCCCACCCCATGGTTGAGCAGGAATCGCTCTTATTTTTAGTTGGGAAGATTTGCAAGTTGATACTCAACCATCATGATGAACACATCTTAAAGTCATAGAGTTATACAGCATAGAAATGGACCCTTTGGTCCAACTCATCCATGCCATAAACTGAACTAATGAATGTGAAGCTGGAAAAGCACAGCAAATCAGACAGCATCTGAGCAGCAGGAAGGTCAACCTTTTAGGCCGAAACCCTTCGTCAGGACTGGGGAAGGGGAGGGGAGACCAGAAATAAGTAGATGGAGGGAGTTGGAAATGGGGGAGGTTAGGTGGGATGGAGATATGCGGATGCAGGTAGGGGGTTATTTTGTGGTTGGTCAGTGGGAAGGGTGGAACGGATAGGTGAGTCAAAAGATGGACAGGTTGGGGGTGGAGAGATTTTGTATCCTTTGCTCCCGACGTGGTCTCCTCTATATCGAGGAGACCAAACGCAGACTCGGGGACCGGTTTGCAGAGCACCAGCACTCTGCACGCACCAATCAACCCGACCTTCCAGTTGCCATCCACTTTAATTCCCCCTCCCATTCCCCTGACAACATGCCCATGCTTGGCCTCCTCCATTCTCAGAGTGAGGCTAAACATAAATTGGAGGAACAACACATGATATTTCGCATTGGAAGCTTACAGCCCAATGGCTTGAATATTGACTTCACCAGCTTCAAAATCTCTCCAACCCCAACCTGTCCATCTTCCTATTCACCTATCCACCCCACCCTTCCCACTGACCAACCACAATAACTCCCTACTTGCATCACCAGCTTCAAAATCTCTCCACTCCCAACCTGTCCATCTTCCTACTCACCCTTCCGCTACCCCCTTCCCACTGACCAATCACAATAGCCCCTTACCTGCATCCACCTATCTCCATTTCTCCTACCCTTCTCCCAGCCCCAACCCCCTCCTTCTATTTATATCTGGGCTCCCCTCCCCCCTTATTGACTCCTGCTTCCAGTATCTGCAGTCCTTACTGTCTCCTAAGCTGAAAACTAGTCCCATTTGCCTATATTTGGCCCATATCCCTCTAAACCTTTCCAATCTGTGTACCTGTTTTAAATGTTGTAATTGTACCCACCTCTACCACTTTCTCTAGCAGTTCGTTCCATACACACAAAAACCTCTGCATGAAAAATTTACCCCTCAAGTCCCTTTTAAATACCCCTCTCACCTTAAAGCTATGCCCTCTAGTTTTGGAACCCCCTTATCCTGGGGGAAAGAACTTGGGCATTCATCCTATCCATGCCCCTCATGTTTTTATAAACTTCTATAAGGTCACCCCCGCCCACCACAACTCCCCATCCCCCCCCACCCACCCCACCACCCCTTTAATTCAATCACATCCTTCCTATGGTAAGGTGACCAGAACTGCACACAGTACTCTAGCTATGGACAAACCAAAGTCCTGTACAGCTCCAGCAACTGTGTCAAAACCCTGCAGCTCCCTCCCTAACAGCAACGTGGGTGTGCCTACACTTCAAGGACTGCAGTGGCTGAAGAAGGCATCCTCTCCAGGGGCAATTAGGGATGGATAATAAATGCTGGCCCAGCCAGCGAGGCCCAAATCCCATGAATGAATGAAGAGAAAATAAAAACCTGCTACAATCTGACAAAATCTTGGTCCAACATCTGGATTGCTTACGTAGTTTTATGTATCAATTCCCTGAAGTTTTCACATCAACATTTCCTTCAGTAAAATATAATTTTAAAAAACCCTGCTTTAATGAGTCTGAAAGTCTACCTCCAGCCTGAGAACGTCAGCCTAAAGATTTTCATCCAGGTTACAATTCTACCAGAAGTCCAGGCACTGTAATTCAATCTCCTGTGAACAAACTCAGTGTCATTGTCTATAAAAGACATCTTGAGATAAGTCAGTGATCAGACTGTGTTATAAATAACCTCTTGCTTCTACCTCCTGGAGAAAGATACATAAAACGGTGTCAGGACTCATTGGAAACTGGATGAGCACTGTGTACAAGCAAACAGAAGCTTCATCCTGAAACAAGATAGCTTGATGGGGGTCACCCCAGGCAATGCAGGCACTCTCTTTTCATGTGCTACTTGTGCATGCCTGTAGTAGAGACAGTTTCTGACAGAGAAGAGCTTTCCAACCTGTCCAGGCTCCAGCACAACACAAACATTTCTCGGATACCCACCACCCCACCGGCACCAATATTTTGACCGTCAGTGATTGGAGGCGAGGTGTCCCTTTGGCAGGCTGCTCTCTCTTGGCACTGAAGCTCCTGATGGGCTGTACATTCTTTGGAGAGTTGGGCGGAGAAATCTCGGCTGACTGGCCACAGTGCAGTGCTGAGGGAATTCCACTTTGTCAGAGGTGCTGTCTTTCAGAGGAGACGCAAAATTGTGTTCCTGTCTGCCTCCACTCTCTCGCTCTGCAACCCTCTCCACCCCATCACCAGGTGTGCACTATTTTGAAGAACAGGGGAGCCCCCCACCCCGTCAATACTTATCTTTCACATATCTGGGGGCTTGCTGTGCATTCATTAGCTGCTGTGTTCATGTGGGGTTGACAAGGAGGACTTAATGACCTTAAACACTTTGGAGAGATCAGAAAAAGTCCTAGATAAATGCAAGATCTAGACTGCTTTTATATCCCATTATGTTCCTTTGAGCTCTAACCATCTACCCTGGTTCGTCTAGTCTTGTCTGTCCCTTCGACTTGAGCTGCTCGGCGTTCCCTGCATTTTCTGTTTTGGATTCCTGAGAGAGAAAAAAAAGTATCATGTCACTTTCTCAACAAGCCCTTTTTGAGATTGAACGAGCCACCCTGAGATTTATGAGGCCTGTTTGCATCAAAAGACTGGGGAGTATTCCAAATGGACAAAGGTTAGGCCACTTGCAGTGTGCTGCCAGGTCTGAGCTGGCGCACCTTCCTTTCGGAGTTGTTCGTTTACAATGCCGCAGGATGTTGAAGCGAGATTTCTTCCAGCCAAATCTGCTGCCTTTGAGCTTGATTATGTTTGATAAGGTGCCAATTTGAGTTTGATCCCTTTCTCTGTAGGGGAACCGGCCTAACTACTTCCACTGGTGACCTCTGAACAATCTGTCACTGAGATCTTCATCTTGCTTGTCTGGCCTGGGTTCAGAGTTAGAAATTAAAACTGTGTGTTCTGATCCTCACCAGCATTCTCAGCTCTCTGCTGCCTTAGTGTCTTTATCTGAATGCAGGAGAAGTATTTACTGGAGAGAGAAACAAGGTGCTGTAAGAGGTTCTTTGTGGAAGTAAACACCTCTGATACTCGACAGTCAATATCCTCTGCTGCATGAGGATTGACAGCCATATTCCACACCCTTCCCACATTCCCTCTCTTTCGTTCTTTTCTATCTGCTGAGGGAATACAGTAAATGTATTTACTATTGCAGTTCTGAGGAAGGGTCACCGGACCCGAAACGTTAACTCTGTTTTTTCCTTCACGGAAGCTGCCAGACCTGCTGAGCTTTTCCAGCAGCTTTGATTTTGTTCCTGATTTACAGCATCCGCAGTTCTTTCAGTTTTTATTTACTTTTGGAACTGTTGATGAAAATCGCCTTTTGAGAATCAACTTGGCTTCCCCTTTTTCCAACCTTTTATTAGAATCGTAGAATTGTGACCATTTGGCCAATCTTCCCCTGGTGAGGGAATCTCAAGCCAAAACAACAGGTCTCCCAATTAAGATGGAGATAAGGAGAACTTTTTCAATCTCCCTAGCAAGCTGTGGAGGGGTAAGGTCATTGAATATGATCAAGGTTGAGTTAGACAAGCTTTTTATTGGCAACAGTGTCAACAATTATGAGGGGGTTGGGGGCAACAGGCAGGAAAGTGAGATTTAGGCCACAGACAGAGTAGCCATGATGTTATTGAATGGCAAGGCAGCCTCTAGGGGCTGAATAGCCTTCTCCTGCTCTCTTTACTTATGGTCATGTGTTCTGTAATACCTACACCGGTCCTTTTGAAAGAGAGTTATTTAATTCCATTGCCTCTGTCCTTTCCCATTTTCTAATGACTTAAAAAATTTCAAATAAACTTTCATCTACTTTTTAAAGGTTATCAAAGATTCAGTTCCCTTCCATCCCCATTTATAACAACAAGTGATCTCTAGCCATCCCGGCCTGACATGTAAATAGCCAATCCCATTGTTTGCAGGGATGTGAAGTAAATAAACTTTATCTCTTTAGTCCAGGAGGACAACATTCATTTGCTTGGGGTTAACACTCATTTAAAAAGGGAGCTTCCTACCAATATTTTACTGTTACCTTTATATTGTGTCTTTGTTGGAGGTGAGGATATATTAGTTGTGCAGTACTGATTCCCTACAGCCTACTCCCATCTCCTCACTTCTTATTCACACTGTCTTCTCATTCCTGATGAGATTGGACCTTAGCTGTTGGGTTCATGGGAAACGGTGGTCTCGTTTTAGCTAGACCAGGCCCTGCCAATCTCTCCCCATTTCCCAGTCTGCACAAACCTGCCAGTCAGTTTCAGTGGGTTTGAAACCCTCAGCTGTTAATGTAGCCCTGGGCCTCACTTATTTTCATACAATGTGATCTCAGTTTATTGACATCTAGGTTCTAACGTTCACCTTTCTCCCCTTGGACAGATGTGTATATTCATCGGAGAAACCCTCCTGTTTTTGAACTGGGCCATTACGGCAGACATCCTAATGGTAGGTGTTTGATACAGAGTTGTAAAGTATAATTCCTTTTTGTCCACGGGAAGTGAATTTCTACACGCTGTGCCATAGGAGAAGAAAGGGAGTGGTCATTAGGAAAAGCCTCGTTCCTTCCTCTCGCCACTGACTGAATTTTCTAAATATTCTGAGCCGGGGGAATATTGTAGGGGTGCGAGGAGACGGTGGGACAGTGCAGCCCATGAACTGGCTCCCTAAGAGGGCCAGCACAGACATGATGGGTGCAACGGCCACCTTCCGTGCTGTAGCACTGACTCTACATCTGCTCGTCTCATTCAGGAGCAAGGGAGGCTACACTCTGGGAACAAAGAACTAGCATCTGTAATAGACTACAGAGTTGTTGGATTTGTAAAATCCCAACCTGTTCACTGACCTCCTTCAGGGAAAGAGATTGTCCACCTTTACCTGTCCGATCTATATGTGATCCCTGACCCCACAGTAACGTGATTGACCCTAAACCAGCCTCTGAATTGACCTCGTAAGACACCCAGGCATGCTACAGAGAGTCCTGCCTCCACCACCTCAGGGCAGCGGGGGACAAACATCTCGTTCTGAATGTATGATCTTGAAGAGCAAGTGAGAGCTACTCCCCTCATCCCTCGCCAGGCGAAGATTAACAACACTTCCCTGTCACAGTTAAAGGACGTGGAGACCCAGTGTTGTGTTAGTCCCACATACTGTGCCATGACAATTGATTGGTAAGCTTGGGCACAGTGATTCCTCACAAAGTTGAAGAGCAAGATGTAGCACTCAATTGTTCTGCGTTTAATTGCGTGAATCTGGTTACTATTGATGCTCACTGAGCTTGTTTGGTGAAACCTAGGTGTGGACACGAGAAAGTAAAACTTATAGGAAGAGCTGGAAACTACAGCTGAAGCATGGAGCAGACATTGTAAAGCACAGGGAACTGGTTACAGGCCTAGAGACACAAATCATCACTGTATAGCTCTGAGATAGCAAATTTACAAAATGAGCCACCTTGGATCTCCTGGCAGCTGGTAAGACAGTGACACTGGCTGCCAGCCTGTCAGTGCCCTCAGCTGGTATTTTATGCTGGGCAAAAAAGAAAGCATAACGGGAGAGAAAATGAGCAAATGTATCACCTTTCTCCAATAACGCAGCAGAACAATGCGAGAGGTGCAACGTTTGTGTGCCTATCAATGGCCTGATTTTAAAATCCTTGTGTTAAAGATCTTCCAAATCCCTATCCTTCCCTCTCTTTATACCCTCCAACAGTTCCAGGAGACATCACTGCTCCTCTAATTCGGGTTCCTTCTGTATCTCCGTCTTCACTTGCTCCATGCTGCTTTTAGCAATCTCCGGTGCTAAGCTCTGGAATTCCGTTTCTAAACTTCTCCACCTCACTTTCCTTCTTTAGGAAATAACTTTGAGCAAGCCTTGGCTCACCCTGCTGCCGTAAGCCCTTCCTTTAGCCTGGTGCCAAGTTTTGTGTCCATTATGTTCCTTGAAGTGACTTGCTACAGTAAAGGTATTGTGTAAGTTGCTGTTGTCATTACTTGAGGGAACCTTCATAGTGCAGCATGATTGCTTCCACAGTGCCTGTGTGTGGAAACAGGAATAATGGGGGCTGTTACACCATGAGGCAGTGTGTCTTTTCTCTGGAGACTGAGAAAACTGGTCTCTGAGACTTAAAGTCCTTTCTTGGGATCCAAATTGAAACCATATCTTAGTTTGAGGAGTAATGAAATCCTCATTGACTTGACAATTACAGTGATGCTTCAATCAGTTAATGCTCTCTCTGTTGTGTTTCCAGTACGTTGTTATTCCAACTCGACGCTCAACAGCAGTGGCCTTGCAGAGTTTCACCTCTCACTTGCTCGGAGACGCAGGCAGCCCTTATTTAATTGGGGTTGTAAGTACAGTTTGGATTTCACATTTATTTCCGATCGATTAATGAATGACTGTGTGCAGTCTCGCCACACAATAGACTAGAGGGCCTGGGGATGGGGCTGAGTCTCTTCTTGAGTTCCCAAACCCAGTTGTGTTGTTCTGGGCATCTGCCCATGGATAAAGACAATCTGAGGTGAGCTGTCATCGACCATCTAGTGGTTGGTTCAGGTACATACTGGTGGAAGCTTGGGACCAGGCCAACTGATGGCCACCTTAACTTTGGGAGATTAGTGGGAGAGTGTGGAGGAAGAAATTTCAAGCCACAGTTACAGGGAACAGGAGTTTTAGAAGCAGCATTGGAATTTGTAGGGACCTAAAACCTTTAGCTCCTTGAGCTTGATGCATAAACTGACCTTTAAGGATATATCCAGCAAGTACAATCCAGCTAGTTTAACCTTGGCAGTGGGAAAACCTTTAGAAATTAATCAACTGGGACATCAAATGGACAGTCCATTGGGCATCAGTGGGTTAACAAAAGATGAACAGCAAGGATTTGTCCAGTTGTGTTTAATTAATTTGACTCAGGCATCTGGTCTGACTAGAAAGAGAGAAACTATTCCCATCAGCAAAGACACTGGTTTTAGGAGGAATGACAAAAGAATCAATAGAGGAGAAATGTGTATTGCCCAACGAATGGTCTGCTTGAGAGTGCAAGGGAGGCAGATTCAATCCCGGATTTCGAGAACAGGGTTAGTACCTGAGGAGAAAAACAATTACAGGGCTGTGGGGCAAATGAGGGAGTGGGACTGGGTGAGTTCACCTCGAACAGAGAGCTAGCACAGACCCAGTGGGCCAAATGGCCATCTTCTGTGCTCTAACCATTCTGTCATTTCACATGGAATGATTTTGTGAGGAAAGGAAAGGCTAGCAATATTTAAATCTTGTGGCTCCATTTACGGTTGGACACTTTCACACATTGTCGCTATCCGTTTGAATAAATGATTCGAGCAAAGTTAATCTGGCTGTTGTAATTGCTCCAGAGACTGCCTGCAGGAAATAAAAATCTTCCTATTCCACTGTGACAATATTACAAAAACAGAAATGTCTGCTGTCTTTGATTAAAATGACTTTCTGGACTCAGTTGTAAACTGGGAGGATGGCTAGATGTCAACAGGCAGTGACCTACAGATGTTTCCAACACTGCTCTGCAAGTCTTTATCCTCCCCTAGCTTGATGTATAGAGGCACCTTGAAATCTATATAGTAAGGGTGAGGATTATCTGAGTCCTCCAACCAACAGCAATCTTCATTTATATAGCACCTTTTACATGATAGTGAGCCATGTGTGGCAGCGATATTAGATTAAATGATGAGTAATTTGGTAAAAGACCAAAGGTTTTTAGGAATATTTTAAGGGAGTCTTAATGATGTAGAGAAAGGGGGAGAAATTTAGTGAGGAAATCCTGGAGCATAGGGCCCAAGGCGGCTTCTGGCTCTGTTACCAACAGTGGGTGAAAGAAATTGGGAATGCACAAGAAGCCGGAGATGGAGTTTGGTTGCGTTCGGAGGGAGCTTGACGGGGGAGATATTGAGATGTTCCCACTACTTGGGAGAATCCTGAACAGGGGCTGTAGTTATAGAGTAAGAAGGCACTCGTTTAAAACTGAGATGAGAAGGATTTCTTCTTCCAGAGGTTGGTGAATTTCTGGAACTCTTTAACCCAGAGAGTTGAGGAGGCTAAATTACTGAAAAGTTTTAATGAGGAGGTAGGTAGGTTTTTGAAACATCAGGGAGTTGAGGGTTATGAGGACCTGGTGCAAAAGGGAAGTTGAGACCTGGAGCAGAACACTCTAATGTTATAGAAAGGCAGGGGCCTTTAGAGGGGCCAAATGGCCAACTCCTCCTATTTCTTATATTCTTATCAAATCCCACCAGAAATTCCTGTGTCCCACAGTGAGAGGCAGCCTCTACTTTTACACCATCCCAGCCTGTGTTCCATTATTACAATCATTTGAAATTCCACTGTTTCCGTGAGTTACCCCATCTCCCTTCATCAACCTCGCCAACTCACCCTTTTAAAGCGGTCAGCCTCGATTTTGATCGGTGTTTGCTTTCTCTTGTCTTGCTCAGATCTCGGATGTGATCAGACACAGTAAGCCCGACTTGGATCTGTGGGAGTTCCTCAGCCTGGGCTATGCTCTGATGCTGTGCCCATTTATCATTGTCCTAGGAGGGACCTTCTTCTTGGCCACAGCCCATTTCATTGTGCAGGACCGTAACAGGGCACACCAACAGTGAGTATGAAGCTATTGACTCTCAACCTGCAACCTGATAGAGAAATGAATCATTGCCCTCAATGAGCTCTGTATTCACCTGATAGAGAAATGAATCACTGTGCTGAATGAGCTCTGTATTCACCTGATTCGAACTCTGTGCAGTTTGGTGCTGTTTCCCATTCCAGCATTGCACTGTCACATGGCACTGCCATCTGATCCCTGTCTGCTTCCTCACACAAACAGTTGCTGCTCAGATGTGAGACTGGATGGTGAGGCTATTTGACTTCAGTGGGCATCACAGTGGAAGCTGAAGTTGCATAGTCCTGTTGCATAGTCACACTCTAAAGGTCAATCCGACTTTGGGCAGGAGTGTGTGGCAAGTATGATTGGATCAGCTGCTTGTATTCCCCTGATGTGAAGGCATTGGAAATTAGAATGAGCAACGGTGTGTGAGCTGCAGCTAAATCAATGTTATTTCTTTGATACCAATGGTGGAAGCGCATTTGTGCACAGCAAGCTTCCACAAACAGCAATGCATTTCACTGATGTCGGCTGAGGCATAAATATTGGCCAAGACGCTGAGGATAATTCCCCCTGTTCCTGGTTTGAGATGCAGTGGGATTTTTAACACCCAGCAGAGAAGGCAAATGGTACATCTGAAGGGTGGCACTTAAAACAGAGCAGCACTCCCTCGGTTGGTTACGTTCTTGTCTTTCAGTCAAAAAGGTTCTCCGTTTAATTCCTATTCCAGGCATTTGAGGGCGAGATTTTGTTTTCATGTTCAAATCTCTGGGTGGGACTTGAACCCACAGCCTCTTGATGGACAGGCCTGAGAGACACCAACTCAGCCAGAATAAAACAGGGTGTGGCATTGGAACTGTTTTCCAAAGTCCTCCATTCTGAGCAAGGCCCTCCATTATTGTGTGGTTACTGTGCACTGATGGATTGGGGTGAATTATTCTGCTTACAGGGGATTTACCAATGTCTGACTTACGTACACTATGACCATGATCCTATACAGAGATGTAATTATAAAGACCCGACATACAAACATTCCCCGTCCTTACAAACAGCTGCTTTACGTTGTCCTGCATTTTGTTGGGATTAGCTACAAATTGAGTTGCAGACGGAGTCCAGATGGAAACCGGGGGATTGGCTGTAGCCTGTCATTCTGTTGTTGGGGTCTTGTGGTGCTGTGGTAATGTCCTTGATCCTGGGCTAGGAGGCTAGCGTTCAAGTCCCACCTCAGGCTGTGAGGACCATGGAGATTTATCAGGTGGTGTTCAGATTGATTTAAAACAAAGCTCCATTGGGGTTATATTAAGGGCCATTAGTATATTAGGTAACCACAGGAAAGGTGATGGAGCTTCTCTCTTGTTCAGTATTTTCTGCGTATCTTTGGTGACAGTGCTGTCAGCATCAAAGGAGCAAAAATATTGGATGTTTGCCTGCGGCAGAGTGGGTGTGTGTGTGTGAGGGAGAGCGTGTATGTGTGTGTGTGTGTGTGTGTGTGTGTGAGAGAGAGAGGGAGAGAGCGTGTGTGTGTGTGTGTGTGTGTGTGTGAGGAAGAGTGTGTGTGTGTGTGAGGGAGAGTGTGTGTGTGTGTGTGTGTGTGTGTGTGTGTGTGTGTGGGAGAGTGTGTGTATCTGACAGTGTATGTGTGGAGGTATCTTTACGATACATTCTGGGACACCGGTTTAAACCCTGCAATGGCACTTGGTGGGGTATTTATTCTGGAGTTGCCAATCACCCTGAACAAAAGGGAAATGAGACTGTGAGGTTCACATAGAAATCCACGGTGGTTACTGTTACACAGAAGGCCATTCAGCCCATCAGGCCTTCACCAGCTTGTTAAATGAGCATCATTATGCAGTGCCAATCTCCTGCTGCTTCCCACTAAACCACCCCCAGCTTAACCCCCAGCCCCCGGCCTACTATTTTTATGCAAATCTACAGTACAGAAATATCCCAACTCGTCCAGATTGGGTGTTTATCAGCAAATAAGTTCTGGTAGTTTCTCATTAATCTGTGTTTATCTCTGGTTGCCAATGCTTGGTTGTAGAATTATAAATGAGACGGCATCTGTGAATAGCTGACAGCATTAGACAGCACACTTTGTAATCCTTCAGACCCAGCCGATGTGCTAGCACCAATAGGACGGAGCTCGCCTGGGCTTGGAGGCAAAAACTGGCAGTGACTGGAGGTTGCATGTGACTGTAACACTGAAGCTAATTGTCACGTCCTCCGTACCACCCAGGAACCAAACCTGAGATCCTTTGATCAGCACGGTGTCTGCTTGGGAGCACTTTTCCTCCAAGAACATATGTTGCAAACACTTTCTGTAATTGACAGCTTTGCACTGAGGCTGTTTGTTGCTGGGTCCGACAGCATAATCGACAGGACCCGCTCTGTACTGCATCCCCTCAAAAACAGAAGTTGCTGGAAAAGCCTCTGTACTGCATCCCCTCAAAAACAGAAGTTGCTGGAAAAGCCTCTGTACTGCATCCCCTCAAAAACAGAAGTTGCTGGAAAAGCTCAGCAGGTCTGGCAGCATCAGTGAATTTAAAAATCAGAGTTAACGTTTCGGGTCCGGTGACCCTTCCTCAGTGCAATGTTATTTTAAAGCAATGAAATGGGCTTGTGTTTGAAGTGATGGTCTTTTTTAAAAATCATTCATGGGGTGTCCGCATCACATTTATTGCCCATCCCTAATTGCCCCCAGGGGGCAGTTAAGAGTCAACCACATTGCTGTGGGTCTGGAGCCACATGTAGGCCAGACCAGGTAAGGATGGCAGTTTCCTTCCCTAAAGGATGCCAGTGAACCAGATTGGTTTTTCCAACAATTGTTTTGAGGTTATCATTTGACTCTTAATTCCATATTTTTATTGAATTCAAATCCCACCATCTGCCGTGGCGGGATTCAAACCCAGGTTCCCAGACTCTCTGGATTAACAGTCCAGCGATAATATCACTAGGCCATCAGCTCCTCTTGTTTAGTCAATGAGCTACAGGCAGTCAATAATCCTCAAATTATTTCCCACAGCCCGTCTGCTACACAGCTCGCAGTGCAGATGCTCACTCCTGTGAGGTTGTTGCCCCTGCTGTGTGAGTGTGAGATCAATTCAGTCGATCAGCTCCAACTATTGACTACGTGGGGGCCAATTAGCCGGGGTCAGTTCTACTGACATACGCTGGTGGTGGAAGGATGACCTTCTAGTCTACAGGCCTCAGTACCAGGTCACATTGTACAGTCACACCAATGAGCTAATCAAATCATTTTTGCTACCTTGATCGAGACAGAAATATTGCCCAGGATATCCCCATGCAATTTTTTTATTTCACTGCATAATCATTTATTACAGTCTTAGTTTAATAAAAGTGTGACAGGGCCTCAGCAGCAGGTGATGATAGGGAGGGAGGGCACAGAGCAGGGGAGCTGAAGCAGGTAAAACCATAGAAACAGGAACAGGAGTAGTCTTTTGGCCCCTCGAGCCGAATAGGATCATGACTCACCCCAGCACTCCTCACATCCACTTTCCTGCCCTTTTCCCATCATCCCCGATTCTCTGACTGATCAAGCATCTATCTGTCTCAGCCTTAACTATACACAAGGACTCTGCCAAAACGTCCAGCCGTAAAGGGCGATAGTAAAGGAATGTGCTGTTGAGGGGAGCCTGAGCAGTGGTGCCAGGACCTCCAGCAGCAGTTGGCGACGGTGAGAGAGGGCAGCTTTTGTTGTCAAATGGACCCTCTCTGGGAAAAATGGGTTTCTGTGGGGTAAGGAGAGCTCATGAGAAGAAAGCACAGACAGACAAAGGATTCCTCAACTCAATCTAAACCAGAGGCTTCATTATAGAATCCCTATAATGTAGAACAAGGCCATTTGGCCCATTGAGTCTGCGCTGACCCTCTGAAGAGCAACCTACCCATCCCCATAACCCCTGCATTTCCCTTTGCCAATCCACCCTAGCCTGCACATCTATGGACTGTGGGAGGAAACCGGGGCACCCAGAGGAAACCCACGCAGACACAGGGAGAATGTGCAAACTCCACACAGACAGTCACCCAAGTGTGGAATTGAACCCGGGTCCCTGATGCTGTGAGGCAGCAGTGCTAACCACTGAGCCACTGTGTTGCCCTGTTGTATCTAAGTACTGTATAACTTTAATTTCCCTTCATGATGTTTGGGCTGTCTGTGTGTTCAAATTACATGTTACGTTGGTTAGCGTGGCACTCCCTCAGTACTACACTACAGCGTCAGCTAAAATGTGGACCTCAACCACCAGAGCTGGGTTTGAACCCTCAACCTACCATCTGGCTGTGGTGGTGAGGGCACTCTGCCACGAGCCACAGCTAATGCCCGGTTCAGACTGTGACAGTGACATGAGCAATCCAGAAAATACAAAGTTAGGTGCCTGAAAGAGGGAAATTGGATTCAACAAATGGCAAGTTGAGGGCTAGCACCAGGAGTGGCCACAAAGCTGTTAGATTGCATCTAAAACCAAAGTGGTCCCACTTATTGGCATTAACTAATGGCCCTATCAGCATCAGTCATATCCAGTGAAGGTTCACTAGATTGGTCCCGGGTATGGAGGGACCGTCTTATGAGAGGAGGTTGTGTAGTTTGGGTCTGTACTCATTGGAATATGGAAGAGTGAAGAGTGACCTTAGTGAAACCTACAAGATTCTTAGGCGCCTTGATAGAGTAGAAGTGGAGAGGTTGTTCCCCTTAATGGGAGAGCCCATAGTGAGATGGCACAATCTCAGAATGAGGGGTGGCACATTTTTCTTTATTCATTCGGGGGATGATGGAGTCACTGGCTAGGCAGCATTTATTGCCCATCCCTAATTTCCCAGAAGGCAGTTCAGAGTCAACCACAATGCTGTGGGTCTGGGGTCCCATGTAGGCCAGACCAGGTAAGGATGGCAGTTTCCTTCCGTAAAGGACATTTGTGAAACGGATGGGTTTTCCGACAATCGACAATGGACAGAGATGAGAATGAATCTGTGAAATCCTTTACTACAGAAGGCTGTTGAAGCTGTGCTGTTAAGTGGACTCAAAGCTGAGAGAGAGACAGATTTTTAATCATTAAGGGAACCAATGGTTATAGAGAAAGAGAAAGTGGAATTGACGATCACCAGGTCAGCCATGACCTCATTGAATGGTGGATTAGGCTTGATGGGCCGAATGGCCTACTCTTGTTCCTACACCTTATGTTCTACAGTCTGAACTTGTTTTCTCTGAGAACTGGAAAGGATAAAGCATAGATATTGTCTAAAACTTTTGACAGCAAGACCCAACAAAGCAAGGGCAGGTTTCCAGCTGAGGTAATACATAAACCCTGCGAGGTTCTTTCCTTTTTGACAACAAAAACACTGCCGATTATTCCTGGCAAGTCGATGAAAAGACCCGAGTTTGCAAAACAAATTAAGTGAACTTCCTGACGAAGAACGATGGCATTTTTATTGTTTCTGAGGTCTGGGTGACAAATGTTTCAGTCAGACGAGACCTTCAGAAATCTCTGGAATGTTGACGTTTCCTAAAAAACATAATTTGCATTTTGCAATGACAGGAAGAGTTGACACAATGAGTCAAGAAGGCTATTGTGAAGCCTACTGCAGATAAGGGAGCAACAATGGTTGTTGGGGAAGTGTTTGTTTTCATGTAGCCAGACTGCAGCTTTGAGGCTCTTCAGGAAAGGTGTTTTCTGTCAAAGAATGGCTGAATTCTGATCTGGAAACTTTTGAGTCACAGCTGATAGTGCGTTTGAGTACCCTGATAGATGCCAAGCTCCCCTCAATCTCCCCCCAACCCCACTGATCCTTCAATGCCAGGATGAGATGCCATACATGGGGCACTTAAGTAGGTTGCAGGTTCAGTCCCTTAGTCACAGCTCAGTGTGGGTACCAGCCATTGGCTTTAATCGTCCAGGTAGGCCATGAATGAAATGAGAAGAAAAACAAAATGGTGCGGGTGTTGGAAACCTGAAAGGAATGCTGGAGAAACTCAGCAGCTCTGATAGCATCGGTGGAGAGAGAGAGAGAGAGAACATTTCAAGTCCAGTGTGACTCTTGTTCAGAACTGAAAATCGAAACAAGCTTCGCGTTAGGGGTTGCCCAGTTGATGACCACGTTGCACTGTAGTACAAGAAGCAGATTGAGGTTGACTGTAACATACAAACTAAAACACAGGGGTCACATCAAGGTTCCAATTGTTTCACGGTTTGTGGGTGTGGACCAGCATCTATAATCCATCCCGTTCAGCTGAACCAGTTTTCAGAAAAGTTAGTCATCCTCCCTCATTCCATATTCATTCACTCTTTCCTTCACCTGCTTATCGCAATGGTCTCTGCCTCTATCGCAATCTACAGCCTGTGTGTGAAAATGATTCTCCTGCTCTCTTTCCTCAAGTTCTTGCACTTGATCCTATAGATCAAGAAGCAATCATTTCCTGATCTCCTCAAATCTGTCAACACTCTATTCATCCTGTCCAGCACTGGAATCTGTTTGATTCACATAAAAAAAATGAAATCTTTTAAAAGCTTGGCTTGAGAAACAAAGATCAATTAGCTTGTAATTTCAGGCCATGCTGACCCTGGCATCTATGGTCTGATGATCTGTAACCAGGCCAAGACTAGCTAGGGCACATAATGACAGTAACACACTTTGTTGCCAATGCGCTCCAGGTGTAGGTTATGATGTCTTAGCAACATTTAAATTCCAAGGGTTACGACGTAATTATACCCAAATTGACACTTAATTACAGTGATGCTGAAACTGCGATGTAACTAAGATGATACAATAACTGATAACATTAGGATTAAGTTAATTGTTTCTTCATCCCCACAGTGGTATGAGTTAATCATTTTCAATGGGACTTTCTAGGGTTAGGGGAGACAGTTTTAGCAATGCAAAGCCGGCACTGACATTTTATTGCTTCAGGAAGATTTATTACCTTTCTGTAATAACCTCAGTCCATCCCAAAATACTGTGCAGCGTGAACACTGTGGTGAATACAGAGACAATTCCACACGCAAGGTCTCAGAAACATCACTGCGGTAATGATCAAATGATCCAGTTCGATGGGTTTGACTCAAACACCAGACAAAAATCCCCCAGATTTTCTCTAATTATCAATGTAATGTTACTTACATGCATCTAAGTGGGTGGAGGGGGTTGCGGGTCTGAGTTTAATGTTACTCCCTCAGTGTCATATAAGGTTCAGACGAAAGGGTGAACATATACCTCTGGGCTATACTGCTGCTTCGCCCTGATTCTGTAGGGCTTCAGGACGTAGCCAGGATTTATCACAATCAGTTGGCGGGTGCTTGAGGGTATAATCATTCATTTAATTACAATCGGAAAGGGACTGGCATCAAATGTTGTGTCAATTTTTCCTAACGCGTGCGTCACTGATAAGAATTAGGTAGAGGAGACATGGCCTGCTAAAACTGGCTTCTTCAGCAAAGAAAGTTGCTGCACTTTTGGGTGACCTAGGACTTGCTTTTCCTCAGTATCAGCCATTTACTACTGGTGCCAATTTGTTAGCGTCCCCAGGATAACAAGCAGAAACTCCTTCTTTATCCTGCTTCTAGTGCCACTTTTATCCCATACATTTGTGGGATCTCCAGTGCCTTGGAAGATCAAAGATATATTTTAGCCCTTAAGATTCTTCCTGTTTAAGTTATTTTCCTTTCAAGAGTTACTGTTGAATCTTGCCATCCAGAGTCCACTCCATTAGTTTGAGGACTGTCATACCTACTGAGTTCCCCCAGTATTGCGTGCGCTCGTCCCATCACCTTGAGGAGTTGCTAGCTGTTAGATATAATAGACTCATCTCATTCTGTAACTTTAACTATCTCTCATAAAATACAGCAACATCTTTGAACTAGTTTTTTTTTTTGTTGGGCCCAGATATTATCGGAGTTACATTGTCCACAATTTGAAGGAGATTGACACTAACATGCCAATTTCATTGACCTGTCCTTGTGTACAGCTAGGGAGAGAGAAACTGTCCCATTGTCAACAAATTGAAAAGAATTGGCAGAAAAAGAGAAGTTGCTGGAAAAGCTCAGCAGGTCTGGCAGCATCTGTGAAGAGAAATCAGAGTTAACATTTCGGGTCGGGTGACCCTTCCTCAGAACCTCGTTCCGATGAAGGGTCACTGGACCCAAAACATTAACTCTGATTTCTCTTCACAGATGCTGCCACACCTGCTCAGCTTTTCCAGCAACTTCTGTTTTGTTCCTGATTTACAGCATCTGCAGTTCTTTCAGTTTTTGAAGAGAATTGGCAAATGGATCAAAAGTCAGTTGTGAATGCTTTTCGTGGTAGGTTTTTTGATGATTTCACACGATGAGGCTTGTTGAGATGTACATCGACTTCTAAAGGTGTTTGGTACAGTGTCACTGGGCTTAACTGCACAGGTGAAGTCTATGGAAAAGAAGGAATAAAGGCAGCCTGGATATCAAGTTGGCTGAGTGACAGGAAAGAGAGAGCAGTGGTGAATGATTGTCGATCAGACTGAAGGAAGGCAGACAGTGGGTTACCCCAGGCATCGCTCCAAGGACGATTCCTTCCTTCTGGTCTGTATTATTGACTGAGATTTGGGTGAATGGGACTCAATTTCAAAACTTGCAGGTGGTAGAAAACTGGGAGGCTTACGAACTGTGAGGAGGATAGTGATAGACTTTGAGACAGGTTCACCTGAGTGGTCAGGGTCTGGAATGTACTGTTTGAGAGTGTGGGGGAGGCAGGTTCATCGCGTGGTTAGGGTCTGGAATGTACTGTCTGACAGTGTGGGGGAGGCAGGTTCAATCCTGGCCTTCAAAAGTGTCGACACCAGGACAGAGAAAGATTGCAGGACTACTGAAAAAGGGCGAGTAAATGGGACTAGCTGAGTTGATTGTGCAGAGAGCTAGCATGGAAATGATAAGCTGAGTGGCCTCTGTCTGTGTCCATAGGTGTGAGGCTGGAAAAGCATACCAGGTCAGACGGTATCTGAGGAGCAGGAAAGTTAATGTTTGGGTCCAAAACCCTTCAAAGGGTGTCTGACCTGCTGTGCTTTTCCAGCCTCACACCTATAGACTCTGGCTTCCAGCATCTGCAGTCCTTTTTGTCTCCTGGCCTCTGCCTGTGCACAGCTATCCTGACCTAGAACTATATCAGCGTGCCTTCACTATTACTGGGTCCAAATTCAGTAAATCCCTTCCTCATAGCACTGTGGCTATTCCTAGCCCACAGTTCTGCATTGGGTCAAGCCGAAAGCTTACTACCACCTTCTAAAGGCCAGTGGGAGTTGGGCCATAAATGTTGGCCCAGCCAGCAATGCCCACATCCCACGACCAAATAAAAAGAAACATTCTAAGTTCTTATGAATATTCAAATAAATGCCAAATGAACAGGGCTGTGGGATTTAGTGAGTTGTTTTTGCAAGGAGGAAGTACAAGTATGTTGGAGATGATTGGCTTCTGTGTCTCTGTGCTGTGAAATTCTAAATGAGATGGAATGACAGATATGTAGAGATTGATGATTTTTAGGTTTGTCTGTGGCTGAACCATTCGTAAACATAACTAGCTGGAAACCTACCCCAGACCACACATTATTCCTCAGTAGCTTTCTGTTCATAGGATCCTTCTTGGTTGTTAATGAGAGAGAGTCACTAACAGTGGAAGACCAATGTGTGGGAGTACAGTTCAGATAAGCCAATTGAAAGTGTGAGCTGTACTGACACTGTGTGATCCCAGTGAAGGATAAGATGGGATGCCTCCGAGTGACAGTGCAGCGCTGCATTTACTCCAATTTACTGCAATATAACTCCAATCCAGTTAGGTGCCTACGGATACCATTCTAAAACGGTCCCGTTCCCAGACAACTCTTTTGCTTCTGCTCCTTGATCTCACAAATGTGTTTCCTTTCTCTGCAGGTTGGAAGAGATGAAGCTGGTTTCTGTGAAAGTTTGAGCAAGGTAAGCAAACAAATAATCTGATCCACCCTATCATCAAACTGGGCTTTCTAATGAAATGCAAAGTTGTGAAAAACACCAGAACTCTGGAGTGCTGCCTGAGATGTGATTTGTGCCCGTTTCCTTTGATTTAATAACTTGCTTTGATGAGGAGGTTGCGGAGTTAGATTCACAGGAAACATGTTTCCAAGGCAGCGACCAGAGTAGAGATTTATCACTGGGTGAGGACAGAGGGAGTGCAGCAGGAAGACACATAGGAGACAGCTCTGTCTCAATCTGAGCAGCTCGGTGCTGTGATGTGTTCTGCGTTGGAGTTCAGTGTCACTGTGGCCTGATCTTTCAGGAAAGATATTCAGAGTGATATAGTGTGATTGATAGTACAAGCTCAGCCGAGAGAATTGAAGAGCCTAGAAAGTTCAGTGCGTTTTACACAGGAGATGTTTTCTCAATTACACACACTCCACTCAGAAAGTTCCTTCCATCAAACATCTGGCCAGCCCACCTTTGCCACAGTGCAATCTCCGTGTTCTTGGCTTATGTTACAAAGCCTGCAACCGAGGTTCATTCCGTTCCTAGCCTCTGACCTAAACCGGATCCCTTTAACAGTGTTAGAGATCAGAGAGACTGTACTGAAGGGAGATAACCACTGGGAACTTGCTGAGCTCCAGGCACCAGCCAGATTGTCAGCAGAACCAGGGAGTTGGGCTAAATGGCCTCCTTTGTTGCTGCATGTTTCTATAAAAAATAATGAATAAATACTGCACAATTTTGCCTTTGGTTATCAGGCAGTATTTGTGCAGAATGTTCCCTGAGGTGATTAAGTAGTCCACGATATATTTGGTTGTAGCAGGAGTATGGAATGAGATGAAATATGTTGGCTCAGCAAGTAGCAGAATAGCCTTGAGAACTATAGTTAACCTATCAATTGTAGGACATCAAGATGAGTTATTTTAAATAACCAATGTCTCTGGAGATCCATTTCCTCCAGTCACATTCCCGGATTAATGTCTTGGTTTTTTTGGAAACACCAGTTCCTGGGACTCCGTAGATGGACAGTTTTGATATCATTGCTCTAGAAAAGATACAGAGCTACAGATGCCTAAAGCATGGCCCATTGTTGAAAAATGTTTGTTTCTGAGAAATATAATCATTTTTGTAACACCTACTGCCTAAAGGGCCCCTATCAGTTGTTATTATTCACATAAGTTTCCCTTCTCACCTTAATTTATCTCACCCTGTCAGTATGACCTCTCTCTCTATTTATGTGACTTCCGCAAGGCTGAACTCACCTCTCTTGCTTTCTTTCTTCCTAAGAGTTATGGACGGAGCGGGTCAAAATGCCTCACAAATTGACAACTTTTTGCCTTCAAATGGCCATACGGTTTCTCATCACCGTGTGACTGGACCTTCCAACCACTGGGGGGGACGTGAGGAATCTCCCAAGGGAACGGCACAACTTCGAAAAGGCGCTCAACTGTATGGAACCTCTCCACCAGCCAGACACGACTCTCAATTCCCTTCTCCTTGTGGAAATCCCTGCGTAAGAGCAAAGTCTTAACAATCCGTGTTGGTTTCTGTGTATTTTTTTGACTCCCCCCTCCACTGGGTTGTGTGTCAAGGGCTGACCTCAGTGGTTGGAGCCAACATGCCCAGCTCCAACCAAAGAGAATGCTCCAACCTCTGATTTGGCAACGTTGGGGGATGGGTTTGATCCACACCAGGGTGCGAGCAGCTTCTGAGACATTGGATATTATCCCTTTTTCGTTTAATGCCTGTGGTTTGGAATCATCACTTGGATGTGACTAAAGCCTAGTTGGAATAATGGTGAAATCTCCTCACCCGAGACAACTACATAGGAAACAGTCAACGTGGAGATATTGCCCTTAAATGAGAGAGAGCACTTTGAGCTCTTCTATAGTAGGATGCTGCTTTCCTGTTATGTTTTGAGGCGGTATTAGCAATATATATATTAACTAGTGAATTGAATTTCACCTTTAAGCTGTATTGGATTGTAATTTCTTTTTGTACTCATGTCAGTGATATGCAAATAGCAAAGTAACCACTGGCTTATGGATATGCACTAAAAATCCCCTGAAGTGAAGATGCTCAAAGCAATCCTAAACTCTTTCCTTCTGCACCTACTTTCTAACCTTAAATCACACTGACGCCAATGTGAAAAGGTCAAGGACTGGGGAATGGAAAAGTGATATGCGGCACTCAGTTGTGTCATCTCCCTTTGGACACAGCAACAAACTTGGCCCCATCTACTTCCTTGTTATTCTTCAAGATGGGTCCGGTAAGTCATTTCAAGCCAGTCCTCAACCCACTCTCTTAAATTGCAAGCGATGGATCCACAACAGAAACTGACTTGTGCATCTCTCAACAATTCCCTCTTCATGTCCGCCACAAAGCCTCTTTGCCCAGGCAAATATCTATCAAATTCCCCATTTGCAATCTATTTCCCCGAGAAAGCACCCCCCCCCTCCCCGGTTCTCACACAGCGAGTAGTTGGGGTGGAAACCTGGTGGAGCCGGTTCAATTAAGGCATTCAAGAGGCCACTGTTTTTATTTTAAATAATTGCCCAGGGTGCAGGACATTGGCTGAAAATTATAATACTTTGAGAGGTGGTGTGGACATGATGGGCTGAATAGTTCCCTCCTCATAGAATCCCTAGTGTGGAGACAGTTCATTCAACCCAACAAGTCCACATCAACCCTCCAAAGAGCATCCCACCCAGACCCATTCCCCCACTTGTAACCCTGCATTTCCCATGGCTAATGCACCTAATCTACACAGCCTGTAGACTATTTAATATGGCCAATCCACCTAACCTGCATACCTTTGACTGTGGGAGGAAACTGGGGCACCTGGAGGAAACCCGCACAGACACGGGGAGAACGTACAAACTCCACACAGACAGTTGCCCGAGGCTGGAATCAAACCCAGATCCCTGGCGCTGTGAGGCAGCAGTGCTAACCACTGAGCCACTGTGCTAATCTATCAGCTGAAGACAGAATTGCATTGGAGTGCCACTTTACTGCCATGTGATTTAGCAGCTGTCTTTTTTTAAAAAACTTCCCTAGTTGCCTCTCATTTCTTCCTTCCACAAGTGTCTCCTGTGAAACGTTTCCCACCATCCCCATGGACTTGGATGTTTATTTGAAGATTCCCAGGTAGTTTAGGCATGTACAGGTGTGCACCACAGGTATGCGGCCACCAACTGTAACATCCAGAAACGATTTGCATGCAGAAGCAGGTCACTAAAATAACTTACCGGAGAAACTGGCCTCTCTGGAATGTACTAGTCACGTGAATCGCTGCTGTTTCTCATAGACTGGGTGTTAACTGCTAGGCAAACCTTGTTGTACTCTTTCCCATGTACTTTTACACATTGAGTCACCTCATGGCGTTACCATAGCAACAGCAGTAAAATTAAAAAGTGGCAGATGTGAGAGTCCACCAGGACAATTTATAAAAAGGTCCTCTTGGCAACATTTATCCCAGATCTCCTTGAAACTCTGCCCACCTTCTTAATGAACCATAATAGCATCTTCTAAACTCATAACCTTTATCATCTGGAAGGACAAGGGCAGCAGATACAGGGGAACACCACCACTGGCAAGTTCCAAGCCACTCACCATCCTGACTTGGAAATATATCACCGTTCCTTCACTTTTGCTGAGTCAAAATCATGCAATTTCTTCCCTCAGGGTGATGTGGGTCACCCACAGCACACGGACTGCAGTGGCTGAAGAAGGCAGCTCACTACCACCTTCTCCAGGGCAACTAGGGATGGCCAAGAAATGCTGCTCCAGCCAGTGACCCCCACATCCTAGGAATGAATATAAAACGAATGTAACCTGTGAAGCCACTCGGCTGTTACTGTCGTGAGTCTTGTTCATCAATGCCAGGAGCTTAAGTTAAAATCATCCACCAAAGGCAATAGAGACCAAATTTTGCCCAACACTTGTTGAAAGCTTAATTCTCAAAATATATCAGATAATTCTAGGGTATTGAAGTGAGTAGAATCCAGTCACTTGCTGACTAGGGAGAAGGCACCGGTGAATCCATCACTTGCACTCAAAGAGCCAAAAGTGATTTTATTTAATATGAATGGAAGGTGGGTGACATATAACTTGCATCGAGTTTTGCCTCGGGCCTTCTACAGAATGTGCAACTTTTGAAAAACAGATTATATTATAGGTTATTCGGATAAGCAGGTAACTGAAGGTTCCTGAAGCTGAGGAATACTTGGCAGCTGGGATAAGTTGATAGATTACAGGGTGTGACAGTCAATCAACAGTTTCAGAAGCTACTTAAAAATTCATATCACAATGGCCTAACAACTGATAAAAGATGCAGGAAAATATTGAGTAGGTGCCATTATTAAAACTGGTGCTGTCCAACACAAACTTTGAACCACAGAAACTGCCATGGCCCAGTGTTTCAGCCCCATGCCCCAGTTGTGGTAGAAAATGCTGTACACTGAACAAAGAAAAGCATTTCACGTGAATATTTGCTTACATCTCAACTCAAAAAAAAACTGACAGTTTCCAAACAAATATACAAAAAAGCCAAAGGTTCATTGGTGGGCTCAGTGCCTGAGAGATCATCTAACCAATAATTACACTATAAAATTGCAATTAGTGGCTAACGTGATGGACAACACTGAGCTAAACCAGTCAGACAGCCAGTACCATTAAAGGAAGTTTCAGATTAAAGTCCAATTTCAAGTTGTGGGCTATGATTTTATACAGTGTGATGTGAGTAATTGAAATTATTAACAACAGGTGGCTTTCCATCCCACAGTTATCATTGCAATACTCAAGCTTTCTACATACAGAATTAACCAGTTTGAAAGTTAAATGTACTATCAGATGCCAAAAATGGTTTGTTCACTGGAAGTATAACAGTCTTTTCCCTCTCCTTCAAAACTCCCATTTGCTGCTGCCTGATATTCTCAATAATTGAACCATATACGATGGTTGATTGTGTGTTGAACCTTTTTTCTGCGTAATATGCATTTGTTCCTGTATAAATTCCATCCGCACTGTTCAAGTGTCTGTGATTTCTTGTCAAACAAGAACTTTTTTCTAAAAAAAATCTATTTTATCTGATTATTCCAGATATATTTTATTGTTTAAAGGCAAAGTATATAAATTATACACAAGAATATGGCTCAAATGTATCTATAAATCATGTAAATTAATAAACTATTTGAATGCAGTGTTTCGTTATTTCATATTCTGTATAGGACTCCACCCAGACCGCACCATTATTTAGGAATTGTATATTTTCTTTTCCAAGCGCACTTCACAGTTTGTGCTGTCAACTTTTGCAAAATGTGTCAGTTACTCATGAGCAACTTTGAAGAGTTGATACCGTAGGAATTAATGTTGAGAGCCAATTCCAGATTTTGGTTTTCAAAGCCTGTCGATTGATAACAGACTTGGGAAAGTGAGGAGCAGCTTGAGGTTTGAGATCCTAGATCAGTAGGATACAGTACTGGAACACATTGGGGCTGTAGAAGCACATCACCCTCAACAGTCTCAGATTGCAGCTCTCCCCTGTCCCAAACAAAGCAATTCTCCAAACATCGCTCTCCTCTTCCTAGATAAACCAACTATCCAATCACAGGGAGATAGTAAGAACTGCTGATGCTGGAGTCAGAGATAACACAGTGTGGAGCTGGAGGAACACAGCAGGCCAGGCAGTATCAGAGGAGCAGGAAAGTTCTGAAGAAGGGTCCCAACCCGAAACATCAGCTTTCCTTCTCCTCTGATGCTGCCTGGCCGGCTGTGTTCCTCCACCTCCACACTGTGTTATATCCAATCACAGCTCTCCTCTCTCCCAAACAAACCAATTCTCCAATCTCCGCTCTCCTCTTCATAGATAAACTAACTATCTAACCGTAGCCCTCCCCTCTCCCAAACCAACTCCCCAATCACAACCACCCTCCTAAACAAACTAACTCCAATCAGAACTCTCCCAAACAACCCAACTCTCCAATCACAGATTAGCAGTCTCCCAGTCCCCAAAAAAATGACCTCTCCCATCATATCTCATCAAACCAAATCTCCTACTGTAGTTCAAATTACAACATAAGGTAGTGGTTGGGTCGGGCTGCATTGCTGTAGCAGTGAATTTGTTCCTACCTTCAGTAGAATGAGTGTTTGGAACATGGGGAGTGAGCACTTCATTAGGAAGGCAGACTTGCATTAAAACAGCACTTTTCATGACCAGATATCCCAAAGTGCTTCAAAGCCAATGAAGTACCTGAAAGTGTCATCACTGTTGTAGGAAACGCAGCCAGAATGCACACAGTGATTCCCACAAACAGCAGCGTGATAACGACCAGGTATCTGCTTTTCTGATATTGGTTCAGGATTAAATATAGGCCAGCACTCGCATGTGCTTCATCAAGATAGTTTCAGGGGATGTTTTCTATCCCTCTAGAGGATAGATAGAGCCACAGACTAACATGGAAGATTGCCAGCAGTGCAGTGCTCCCTCAGTAGGATACTGAAGTGTCAGCTTGGACTCTGTATGCTCAGATTTGGGAATACTTGATCCTATAAGCATTTGACTCAAGAATACTACCAACTGAGCCACAGCTGACGCTTTGAGAAGGAAGAAAAGTAAACAGTAATTCACACTCATTATTCAACCACAGTAACATGTAGTTATAATTACTGATTAGGCAGTCACTGTCAATTCTACATGAGGCAGATTGCAATGATCTTTCACTGTCAATAGTGAAAGATTCATTGTGCTCTATGCTGGGAAGTTACTTATAGGAGCCTCTGGCCAGATCACACCTACATGGGTCATTCAGTTCTTGTTGCTTACATGTTTTAGGGAACCAATTTCTTTCTTCTACAATCACCAAATACCCTTCAGTAATGATGGGACCTGGGTCCACTGTGTTGTATTCAGGAAAGTCACCAGCAATGCTACTTGGCAGGGTACGATCATGCTGCTACTCTCCTACACTATTGGTATTGGGTATTGTTCTGCACTTCAATCAAATATTTAGGTTATCGAACCCTTAGTACAGGTAGAATGTGTGGAACACCAGTGACTGAGTCAGTCCTCATAACCCTGCATTGTACAACTTACAGTCAAGCGAGTAGCTTTACTACAATTACAGGAAATAGGATAGACATAAGTTTTAAACAGTATGAATGCAGGATTACCAAAGGCACGCAGATCCCGTCAGTAAGCTTCTTACTTCAAGGGAGGTCCTTCTTATCAAACAAAACTGGCAGTAGCCTTAACTGGCACTGGCGTTTAAATTAGAGGCAACTTCAGACTCAAGGTCTGCATTAAGGTCAAACTCTTCCAGCCAGATTAAAACAGCAGAGCTCCCATTACCAAAAGCTGATGTTTAATATGGGGAGCAGGCTTAACCTTACTGCCCGAGCGTGGTAACCTGGACACAGCTCCAGTCACTCAAGCTGTTTCCAACAACATGACAGGTTATGGGTTGTGCTCTCCAACAGAGTCTCTTCAAAGATGGGATTTATTAGAACTGTTCAAAATGCAGCTTTGTTTTAAAACAAACCATGACCTGGAAATTAGTGCCTGGAAGCAAATCTAATGGTCCCATTCAAAAAGGAACTAGAAGGGAAGAAACATACAGGGCTATTGAGGGAGTGAAGCAGTGCAGGGGGGGTGGGACTAAGTTGGGCCACTCTCTAAAAGAATGATGGGCTGAATAGCCTTTCTGCAAGATTCTTGCTTTGGAACTTCGCTCAAGATAATTAGAGACCGAATGTACAATTCAGTTCGAGACAGAGTACCTTAATTCCAACATCAAACTACATTACTCAAATAAAAAGGTTGAACAATGAGACATAATGAAGACCTGTTAAGCCCACAAAGGCATTCACAAATTATACTAACAAGGATCTCAATAAGCATATGGGGCCAAGTGTTCATTTTGAATCATATTTAGATGTATTGGGCACTCAACCCTCACGCCCATCCTCCACCTTTCGACTTAAATCTCGTTAGGTGTAGCCTCATGTCCCACCTCAAAAACATCTATGATAAACTGACCTCACT